GATAGTGTCAAATGGCGCCCTATCAAAATATTGCGAAGGCATCAATTCTCGAGTCTATACCTCGCAAAGTGAACGAAGCCTTCGATCGCTGTAGATTCAGTTAGGAAGGGTCAGAGAGGGCCGAGGTCTCACCAGGATAAACAAACCCTCCATCTCTAGGATCAGTAATTAGCTACCACTCTCGTTTAAAAGATTTAACATACCGTGTTGGGATTGGCTGGCTTTGCAAGTCACTATATAAAACAAAAGACGAAGTGTACCTTCAAGCACCGTTGCCATTTTAAACAAAAGTGGAATGCATGGCGCAATTCGAAAACGGTACTGACGTCAAAATTCCTTAAAATTTTGGTTGTCTCGAAATTCCTTCATTTTTTATTATGTATCGTTTCATTCAATGAAACAAAAATATCATTTTTTCCACCCGTTATGAGATTTTGAAATTGTGATGTAATCAAGACTTAATTCAAAATGCAATACAATTTTGCCTACATGTGGGGAAGAGAAGGGGGGGGGGGGGACTGGTTGGTTAAGGTTCGAATTTTGGACGCGATGGTTCCTAACCTTGTTCTGCCCCACTCGACAAGTGCTTTAATTTGTGCGATGCTTGGCATGCCGTCTAGGACTTCCAATCGTCATCCCTTCTGAGATGCGTGGAATGAAGTGCGAGTCCTGTGTGACTGAGCTTGTCATAAAGCACGAACCCTGGCGTAATTTTTACGTATTGCTCAAAGTCAAGCCGTGCCTGTTGTCATGCGTATTTATGCGGACTTGTTGCGAAGTTCAAAAAGTAGGAATTCAAGGAATGTAGCACGTAAGTATTCGAGAAGACGGACAAGTGGAAAGGTAACTAGCTCTCGAGGTGCCGCGGCTGTAGTTCTTCAAAAGTTCTCTCATATCCCAGATGGATGGATGGGCTACGACACTTTGTAGCGGTTTGAACATTTTTTGTTGTTTCTTTTTCCATGAGTACAAGTTCCATCTTTGGGTTAACGCTTAAACGTCGTCCCACAGGCGCTATGCTGCAGCTTATTCATTACTTGAACTCGAATTCCGAAAAAGCGGCAGGTCTGAAACTCCTCCCTCCTTTACGTGCCCACCTTTAAATAATAGCGCTTCCGAATTTTGGAGGAAAAAATAGCTGTTGCCCTGAGCATGGCGAAGGAGAGGACGGGGCGGACGGCAGTTAAGAAATCGGTAGAATCTTGAATGTAGGTGTAGTCATCCTTTTTAAAGCTTTAACCTCTGTTCCGCTTCACATTCTCTTTTCCTGCCTCTCCTTCATCCAATGATCGGTCTTTGCTCCAGCTCGCAAACTTCGAAATGCCTTTGATCCGAAAAATGGCGCAATTTATCTCTGGTGACTCGACGTCGATGCTCCTCGGAAATTACTCGGTATTTCCAGTAAGAGGGAATGGTGTAGTCGTAGATCCTCAGTGTTTTCTGGTGATTTATCAATTCCCATCAGAGATGTGAAAGAAGCAATGGTGGGAAAAAGTTGTCCGTTACCTTTTTTTCGAACCAAGATAACTATAATATACTTTATATCGTATGCTGACGAGTAGTTTCTTCCAAGGTGGCATTCGATAGATGCAGAAGGCTACCGCTACCCCAAATCCCCAATCATCTGCGAACTATCACGCGCGTAAAATCGATACGCGTAGTAACTTGCGAGTTAACGTACCATCGGAGTGACTGAAGAGTACAAGGAGCCCCCTGGTGCGGATTGCGCCCAACCCGCTTACACGGTGATTTCTCAGCTTTAAAAACCAAGAAACTGACATAGTTATTGATGAAAAGGACGGTTAGAAGGGCTAGCACTTGATATCTGATCGCGCCGTTGATGTCATCCGTAAACTTGTACTCAACGGAGAGTTTCAGTGGCAAAAACAGAGGCTAATACCGGTTTTGCTGTAGCCAAGCGAGAGGTGTATGCGAATTTGTTTCTCCAGGTAAAAGCACAGTTCACCTTAAAATAGTTTCTGAGATTTCTCCGATGAACCTGTGACCCACAAGAATAGCCTAAGGGGCGCTGTCGAGTCGAAGAAAGTCTAGATAAGCAGTAATAAAGGCCCAAGACGAAAGAGTTGTCAATGTCGTGAAAGCTGTAGATGTTGCACAATTCGCAGCGGGACCAACACCTCGCACGCAGGCAACGTATTCAAGCCAGCTTTATGCAATGGCGCATGGATTAGAACTGCTCGTCCAAATGGCTCTTCTTCGCAGCTTTTTTCGTAGCATTCTCGTCCAACCCCTAATTCTAATTCTTTTTTTGAAACTTTATTTTTCTCTAAATACGCGGATTTTCGCGTTTTCTTCGCCATTTTTGCACTATTCTGAGCTATACCTTCCCTCGATTAAAAGTAGGCCACTCAAAATGATCGTGAGCTGTGCCTCTGAGTTCGGCCAATCAATAACTATGAAAGTGATAGTTATTGAAGCGGCAAAATCGCTAACTATGTATGCAGGATGGAGCTGAGACATTTATATCAACGGACACCTTTTAAAGTCGCCTTTCTTCGATAAAAAAAACTAATAAATTATCTAATAGTTTCACTGAGTAATTGATGTTGTCCTACCAAGAACTGTCTAGATGTATTGCAGTGTAAACTATTTAAACCAGTTTCATTCAGTCAATAAAGTTTACCCTTGACGCCGATCTATACAAAAAGTCGAGTGTTTCCTTTAAAGCGGGCCGTTGGACAATCCTCTCCTTTGTGTTCTCTTCATTCCTTTTTTTTCTAGTTTTCCCTTTTGTGAAACTACCCTTGCCACTTAGTACTATAGAGATAGTAGATCGGTAACTGAACTCAATTGTCTCTCAGTTATCCCTCAGTGAGGCGATTTATTCCGATAAAGAAATAAATCGCCTCATTGGGGAATAATCATCGTTATCGATTTTCTTTCATGGATGAACCACACACATGACTAGCATCCTGAATCGCGAAAGCTTCTTTCTTTTGTGTCAAGAGAGGGATAACATGCCAGCTTTTGGCTGAAAGTAGGTTACCATCGGTTGCCGAGATTTCCGGTTGAAGTTAATTCCTGAGGAGATTCTTTTTTTGGACTTGTTCGTGACCAAAATTGAGCTTTTACGAAATTCAGGTATGTTTACCCAGATAAAGTACTAGCAAAGAATTAGATATGCTCGAGTACTGGCCGTAGAGCTGTTTTGACGCCGAAATCGCGATCCCAAGAACGACGTGTGTGTGGTGGGATCACATCCCAATACTCGTGGCAAAATACCCTGTGGTTTCGCTTCTGCACTTTGTTAGTTTTTTTAGCATAGGAGCGTTCACCCTACATGCAGAACTTTCGATAACCGACTGTTGAATATGTCTAAAGTTTAAAGTTTAAAGTTTATAACGGAATTAATTCACCTTTAAATGCCGTATCGAAGCTTGTCTGAATTCTTCTTGTGTTATACTTCATCAGTTCTAAACGTGAAAATGAAAATGTCTAAAGCTACTGCTATTGAAACGATCGTCTGGATAAATCAACTAGCCTGGGTGACCGTGATGGTGCCTCCTGACCCACACCCAAAATACAAAAATGATAACGATAGACTTGTTTAACTTGTGTAGACCTGTATATCTTGTTCACAAGAGAGGTTCACTTGTTTGAGACTGAAAATCACTCCGTCCCTGTGTAGGCGTGTTACTAAATCGGTCTATTTGTAGATGTAGAAACTGGGAGTTCCCTCCCACTTGCGTCGCCTTACTCCTCAAAAACGTCTTAGAAAAATAGGGTGAGAATGTTGTAGTGGAAAGGAGCACCAATCCCTACCACACCAGTAGGTGAGATATTTATTTTCGTACAAAAGCTGGGGTGGAGTAAGAATTGAACATCCGCTTGATCCACCCATTCCGGTGCTCCTTCCCTCTTAAGGCCTGGGTTTAAAAAAATACTATTTCTCGATTAGGGAACATTCCCTAAGCACCATCATGAATGTCCTCTTCGCTCTGCGCTCGATGTTGGAAAAGAGCATTGCCCCTTCTCGACTTCCTTTTTCCACGTTTGATAGAGCTTTGCCCAGTCTGCGTATTGTGTTATGGTAACAACCAGTGAAATACTACGCCGCAAAAAAAATCCGCCCTTCCTATGACTCGATGAAGAAGGACCCAGGGATCGGAGACAGACTGAATTTCTGCAATGCTCCGCCACATGATACCCAGGCGTTCGGGCTAGGACCCTTAGTCTGGATTACTGTATCATAAGATTGCACGGATATCAAAGTCTGGCTGATTATAGTTCGGGCAAATGTGCTTTTTTTGAGGAGGGACTTCGGGTTAGATCACCTTGAATTCATGGTAGTGACCAATAATACTAATTTAAAATCGACAGTGTAACCGATAGAGAACTTAACTTGCTTCGAAGGTTATCCTAGTAAGAAAGCGCAGCTTAGCGGAGAAGGGAGGTAACCCTTAATCCTTTCAGTTCACTCCAACCACACATTCACCAAGTTTACTATTACTGACTGGTTTTTTGAACTCATAACCTGAGCTAACGATATCGAACTTCTCGAACTTCATGGGGTAACCAGTTCAGTACAAGGAACTTGTTGGTGGACGAGTTAAGCCGGTCTGACCTTTAACCTATCGCCGCGTATCGACTATTTCGAACCGCCTGCATGGTTCAGCGAAATTTCACTTCGCGCTCGTTTTTGAAGGCTGACCGAGGTGATTGGCAGTGGACGCCGTTTTTCTCCTTTCATAGATGATCTCTGAATTGATCCTCCTTCTTCTTTCTCGTTCCCATACCTCCTACATCGCTTGCTACTTCTTCCAGTACAAATTTCGTTAATATTCCAATGACCTTTTGGTCATTTTTCTTCTTCACAAAGCACATTTCACGGTCTCAGTGGTGTCAGTTGTTGTTCCATTCGGAGTGTTTTTCTCATTTCTTTCATTTACTCGCTTCTCTACTACGCGCTTATTAATCAACGATCGTANTTGGCTGTTTTTATCTTAATTGCACTTCAAACAAAGAGCATTTTCAGTAAAATGTCTGTCCCACCACAAGTCCAGAAGGTTCTCGACGACGTCGATAAACAACTTCACGGTGACGGTCCTGTCAGTAATGTCTTGGCAACAATTGAACAGAAATCTGGCGTTCGAAGACTGCACATCGTACTTGGTATGATTTTCTGCCCCTAACTCTTTTCCTCACATTCTTGAGGAGTTTGCAGAATATTCTCTTAAAATGAAGATCTCCTGGCGGCTAGTGATGGCGATGTTATTTTATTGATGTTGCTTGAATTTATTTTAAATGGGCCCTCGCTCTGCCGTTCCTAATCTGAGCAGTCATCTTCACCATGATCTGCTGTGATACTTTTCGGCTTTCAACCCGCATGTGATCGCTTGTGTGTGAGAAATAAGCACTGATGAGATGAAATTATTAAATCTCTGAGTTTCATGGTGGCTCACGAAATTTACTCCAATTCAGGAAGCTTACTCTACTATTCAGTCCTTTTTTTCTAAGATCTGCTTTCAACTGAGCGGCCCTCGCTGTGATGAGCAGTGAAGTGACACCAGATAGTTTTTGCTGGAAACTGACCCTTTTGCCTTCCAACGTTCCATAAATCAGGCATCGCTACATACTTGCGAGCAGGAAAAATGCAGTACATAGTGAACAACTAATTCATCTGCTCTCGTCACGAAAAAGGAACTGGGGCCTCGATTTTTTGTTGTCTTCTAGTTTGGCATGGACCAACCATTGCCAAACCGTTTTCATGTCTCTTAGCTTTGATGAACCTGCGTATGATCTATAGTCGAAAGTAGAGATAGAGTGGAGGATGAATCGCTAGAACCACAGCTGAAATTAAGCTAAGACATGCCTATGTCAGGTTTTGTACATCTTGAGTTGGATGTAAAAGGGCGACATCTCGAAACCAGTTATGATGAATATGTACACAAGAGCCTCACTAATTACCTACACTACCAACCAATTTACTTATTGCCTTTTTTATATTTCGGTTTTAATAATTAATGCTATTGATTTTCTGTAAAATGAAGTTCTTTTTAGCTGTGGCTGCTTTGCAAGCATTGTACCTAATCTTTGGTCATTTTGCTCAGCTCGTTTGCAACTTCATGGGATTCATTTATCCAGCCTATGTGAGGTTAGTGCAGCCTGATATTGTATCATACTATGAAACTTACCATGAAATTTGAGTGCTTGTAACGATGCCATTATCGAACTAAAGGAAATGGTTTCAGCATAAAGGCAATCGAAACTGCAACAAAAGATGATGACACTCAGTGGCTGACTTATTGGTGAGTAATTACTTCGTATTTTGCATGGTTTTACTCGAAAAGTGGTCTTCTAGTATGCTCACTTATATGTAGGCTATCTTTTTTTTATCTGCTCATTGTCTATCTGTACTGTGTATTTATCTGTATTGTTTTCTAGCTGATCGTGAATAAGTTCTATTACTCACCGTGAAGACAGTGCAAATAGTACAAACTATAAATAATCTTTTTTTCTTAATACAACTAATATTAAGCATGCCGAGATGATTTCTAGTTTCCTCACCTTTGCTGTCTTTTTCACCCCAGTTTGAACTGATGTTGAGGCTTTTTTTAGTATTTTTCGCAATCGACTTGGATCGTTGTATTTTTTGTTCTTGGCGCAACTTCGCTGTAATACTTGTTCTTTTCTTAGCAGCTATAGATGACTTGTTTTTCTGCACTGGACTTCCTACTCTCACTTGTTTTCTATGACTTTTTTCACTTAGAAATTTTGATCTCGCATAGAAAATAGTGTGCCATGTTAGCCTTCACTTCTTAAGCTTTGTTCAGGGTCGTGTTCGCTGTGCTTTCGGTTGCTGAATTCTTCTCCCAGCAGATTGTTGCCGTGTTCCCAGTGTACTGGCTGTTCAAGTCACTTTTCCTTCTGTGGCTCTACCTTCCGTCTACCATGGGAGCGACCAAGATCTACCACAAGTCAGTACTTGTCGATCGTCTATATGGCACTACAGGCATTGCAAATAATCTCAATTGTATTTTAAGAGCAATCAAGCCAGTTTTCGTGAAGCACCATGCAGGTGTTGACCAACGTTTGAACCAAATCGCCGACAAAGCGAGAGATGGTGAGTGATCGCCTATTTTGGAATGCTCAAATTTTTTGAAGAAACATTTCTGTTACTTTGCATATGCACTTTCAGTGTGAAATTCTGCTTATAATGCTTGACAGGGGTCGTAAGTTGTGAATTTGAGTAGAGCAAATTCTTGTTACGGCTTTTTCGACATGATGTTTGAGATTAGCCATGGACATTAGAATATTCAAACTAATATACAAAAGTGTATATATTTATTTACGTTGTGCCATTCGGAATCATATGTTTTCAGCAATGAAACATGCTGCAAACGACGTCATCAACACGCATTTGGAGTGAAAAAGAAACAGTTGACCGTTCTGCATAAATCGGTGTGTGATTGATTACCCCCGATTGAGACCTCATGTTTAATTCGTTTGCGACCAGTTATGTTCATGTTTTCCTATTTGACTGTATTTCTATAGTTTTTTGTCCGTTAGATTATTATTTCACGACTTTCCGCATATTTTTTCTGATTACTTGTAGGAAGCTTTGCATCTTTCTTTAACGATCTATTCGGTGCGCAGCTGATTGGGTAGTCTATCCATAGCCTTTAATTCACCACCTCTTGCTGTTGTTTCTTTTTCTTGGAAGAGTTTTTGATCGATAAATATTAGGTTTAGCTTGGGTTCAGTTGGATTATATAAATGGCCTCTAGTTATGTGATCCAACGCTAGGCATACTTGCGTCCGCTTCTAAAGCTAACTACAGTATTGGCAATTGTCTAGGGAGCTTACGCTTGAAGACGGTATCGGATTCGGTGCCGTGCCCAATCGTGTCGAGCAGCTTGCTATTAACGTAAGAGGTGTGTTTGTGATTATGTCAAAGTTTTTGATAATTTATCTATAATTGTATGACTTCGATGTGGAGCGTTCTATAGCTGCTGCTGCTGCAGCTGGCATAGCTTTTAATATCGAGAACGTTATTTTTCTACGTAGATGCTTTCCTGCGTCTATCATAATCTTGCTCATCCCTCATCTTTAATGCGTTTCCGTTTTGTTGGTTTGAAATCTTTATTTGCGACGCTTCATGAACATGACGCTCCAGCGGTGAATGCTTTTTGCAGAGCAAGCCTGAAGACAATGAAACGTCTCTGTTTTAGAGGTGAGGGTCTGGTTGGATAGGGCGAAAAAATAATTGGCAAGTATGTCTTCAAGCTCCTAGAGGGAAGTCGAATAAATGGGGCTTTACAGGAAAAGTAGTCCAACACCGACCCATGACTGTCTCTTTGCCATGCCAAAGTCCTTTTATGGTGAGGGAGAAGTTTGTGCTACCAGAGTTCAAGAATTGTCTTTGAGAAGTTCGTGTTTGCAGAGGGTGGTTGTAGTTATAGTTCTTCTCAAAACTGCCCTACGTTTTGTAGTCGTTATTTCTTATAGTGCAGGTATGACTGAAAAGTTATGTAATGTGAGAATCATTCCTATCAATCACGATCATGTAGCGATGTAAACAGAGGCAAGAACAGTTCGCAATGGAGAAGGAAAGGGGTGAACTATGATTCTTCGTCTGAGTTTGAGTCTTTGTGATAAATAGGGAAGAAGAAAGCAGTGTTTATGGGAAGCATGACACGCTCATCAAGCCCATTTGCTCCCAGTTTTTTGAGTTTCCAACGTTGGACTGTTTGAACAAATGTCAAGACAGTTGTTAGTTCCTGTAGAGGATAGAACTCACTTCGGAAGGCTGTGGTGTGCAGCGCGGGAGCCATTGTGGAGAAATGAGTAATTCCTAAGGCGTTTTCATGTTCTCTTTAGGTAACCGATACCTTCATGACTGCTCTCGTCATGTAACCCATAATCTCATGACGCAGGTGAACGCGCACCTTACTACGTAGGGCTGACGTATTATCACAACTTTACAGCATTGGAACAAGGTAACTCGATACTGTCATGTAGCTTCTGCTATGAGGAATCCTCTAGCAGACATGAGCCAGTTCTGAGCTTCTTTTCAAATGGGCACTAAGTTGGCCTGGGTTTTAAGGTGTTCGAGGTGGAAGCAGAATATCAGCCAGTATTCTTGCTGTTAAACTGTCAAAAGTTTAGAGTGAAATTCTTTAGTGGAAATAGAAATTGTCGAAATTCACGCGCTCGAATAAAATCCTGAAGTCACAGAAGCGTGAAGGTCACATCCGCTTACGCATGAGTTTTGAAGCGCTTTCTGCTCAGAAAGCTAGAAAAATCATCGAAAAAAAGAAAATTCGGTAGGCAAGAGACCTCAGAGCTACTTACAGGATATGAGTAGGATATTGGGACAGAATTCTATCAAGAATGCGGAACATACAACGAGTGACAGTGGAGTGTCGTAGAGATGGTTCCATTCTATAGAACACTGCTAACCGTAGATCTTAATTTTTCGATGAAGTTTGTCGTGTGCTGGAAGCATACGATAAAAATGTTGGATTTATGCCATTCCCGAGATCTGTGCTGGATGATCCTGAATCTGCCTTATCTGCTAGCCTTATCTTCCGTTTCTTTCCCAAAAAGTTCAGTAATCTAACAATTACCTTTGTTTCATCACCGAAACGTCCATATTCGGCAATAGAGTGGGTCGTCGAGATGCCTCCGAGGTCGTTTAGTGGTATCAGATTTGTCTGCGGCGATGAAAGCACTGTCTGTACATTAGAGGATCCCCTAAATACCTGTGAGAACGAAATGTGCATTCAATACTACAAATCCGATTGGATCCGCTTGCATGGCCGCATCCCAAAGTAGGCTCGATTGGCTTCATAAACTTCAATCTTTTTCTTGTGAGGAGCAAGAGCAAGCGTGTTTTGACCCTACACGAATGAAAGCGGTGCGACCTACATGTTCCTACATGGGCTCTAGGTGGGAGGATGAAAGGAGGATCAGATGTGAAGGTATCGAATGTCCAGGTTTGCTGTTTGGAACATGCAGTACTCTTCCAAACGGTTCTCTGTGAAGAAGCTCAAGTTCGTCTCACCTTCACTGCATTATGGTGGATATCATTTTATCGTTTCATTTTTTGAAACTTTTCTGAGATCGTCTAGCTTCTATTAGGTCAGGTTTTCGACGTTTCGTTCTCTCGGTCCTATGGGAAGTCAGTGTTCTCAAAATGGGAAATAGCCATTCACCACTGGCACGGAATTCCTTTTTTTCGGATTTTTTCTCTAGAGGCGAGCAGTGATCCCGCTGCTTCAGTATTGCGATTGCTAACCGATGATATGGCATTGCTGAAGTATGGTTGAGAAAGGATAGCGTTAGATAGTTGATTGGGATTATCGGTTTGGGATTTCTTAATAGAAAGGGTTGGTATTTGATGGTCAATATCAGAATGAGGTGAAACCTTGCGAAGATTTCGCATAGTCTAGATTTCTGCCGAAATTTTTTGGAAGCTTCGATGCAATAAATATATTAAGAGACACTAATCATGCGTATATGCAAAACATATCTGGCTTCCTAGTCTTTCTCTTTAGCCCTACACTGATCCGAACTATTTATCTATTTCCAACGTATTTGTTTACGAGCTCGAATCCGGCCACTTTGCAGCTGAAACCCATTGAAACATGGATCAAGCTTCCCTCGATCAGGCCTTGAAGCTCATTCAAAGCGGTTCTGTGCACACCTCGTTCCAACGCTTCACAGGCTGGAACAAAAAAATTGAAGATGATTTCGATTTGCTCAACCGGTTGCGTTACCTGAAATCTCTGATTTGTTATGCGCATACAATTGAGTAGTTCTTTACTTTATGCTTTTATAATATTTTTGTAAAAGCATTCCGAAAACTCTACGGGAAGTATATATCAGATATTTTTGATAGTGTTGTTCCAACGGGTTAAGGTGGTATAGCGGCAGGGGCATCATCCCGCACGCATGGTCACAGATTCGAGCATCAGATGAATATCCCCTAGACCCCAAGCCTTCCATCTCTCCAGGGTCAGTCGGTCCGTAGCAGATTCGCCTGGGAGGACCAAAGTACTGACTTGTACGTCGGCTGGCCGCCGCAAGTCATTGTGTAGGCCACATATGTAGCATCCAATGCGCCATTACGATTCTGAGTAAAACTCGGATGCGGAGCGCATCCCTCAGACGGAATGGACGTCGAAAGGCTATACCCTTCCTTCTTTTTACATCCCATCTGTAGGGCGGCCCATGGCAAGGAGGACAAAGGAGCTGCTATCGAACTTGTACCGTTCAGAAATCGAATCTTCCCGCGTCAAGCTAACATTGCAGCCCTTCCGGGCTAGACATTTCAGACCAGAATTACCTTTATTAGTAGAATCACTCGGGTGCAATCTCACTCCTGGCAAGACCGATGGGTGTGGTAGGTGTGTGCTTTACGTCTATCCATAGTTCTCTTCAAAGTGGCTCAGCACTTTCGGGTGTTGTTCACTTCTATGGATGTAATGGGAAACCTAAAAGCAGTGGGTGAAACACATAGGCAAACGCATCCCACTTTCGGCTTCATTGCGGAGAAGCCTTTGATGAGTACTTTACTTATATCACCTGCCGTCCAGCTAGACGTCGATTCGCTCAAACGTTCACCAGCCAGTATCGTCTCCCTGTTGCGAGCCAACGCTGTCTCATGTTCGCTCATGAAGCACAGAGCTTACCGCTATTTTCATTAGACCGTCAAGAAGTCCGACCATCAAGCTGGCAGCTTCTGGTGTTCGTACGACGTTCCTGAAGATTCCTTTACTAACCCTTGTGGTCCAGCGGTAATCGCTTAATCGCCAAGATGTGTCCATCTCAAATGGTTTACAAATTCTTGGCGTAATCTTCCGCGCTCCCAATCTTCGTTTCAGAACTTCAGAACTCCGGGTTTCCCTGCGCTTTTGCCTGTATCGGGGATTCGCAAGCTCTCCCCACAGAATGACGCTGAGTGCATGCTAGTCGTGCTTGCGTAGAGTCCATGACTTTGAAGCAACAAGCCCGGAAGGGCAGAGTCATGAAAATATTCTCTACTCCCTATTCGTTCGTCCTCCTACTCGGTTTTGGTTCCGTGTCGTTCACCATGCTCACCTCTTCACCGAGGTACCGGGCCGAAG